GGGGATGCAACCCCACTAGGGCTACATAGCATTATTGTTTATTAAATGATAACATAAGAAATTATTAGTATGATTATCAAAAAAAAAAATTTTTTTTCAAAATTCATTTCAATCACATTCTTCAGGAAAATAATTTTATAAGTAAATCGAATTTTTTTTTTCTTATTTTCTAACCACACATTCTCCAAATTTGATGCTTGAAATATCAAAATTTTATGGGCCCAAACATATTTTATTTGCCTGTTGAACTCGTTCTCATCGACCTGCCTAACACGAACCTTGTTCAAATGGGACAAAGTAGTAATTGGCCTAATAAAATTATGTTACAGTGTCGTAATGGTTGATATTATGTCACGGGACATTATATCATTTGACTGTTTAGAGCACAGTCAACTTTACTATCTGATCACATCCCGCCACATTTCTTTCTATCAAAGAATCTAGCCAGAATCTTCTGTTACAGTGGCATTTCCCGTCCTGACATTAGATTGTTGAGTACTCCACTGCTTGTCCCTACGTCTCTCCTATAAGGCATTCATAGTCTCCAAAATGGCGGAGTGACAGCAACCTACAGCAAGTCACGGTATTCTAGCCCAAACAATGCCTCAACGGGCTTCAACAAAGAGCCTGACTTTCGGACTTTGCTGTAAATCACTGTTACCCCGGACGGATCATTCAGTCAGTACAGCACTTTCTGATGCAGAGATTCACCCTAAAGGTGCAACTGCAGAGCATACTCATGTTTTTGGGTCCTTTCTAAGCTCACAAAATTGGTGTCGTCCTTTCTAAGCTCACAAAAAGAGCCATTGTTGTTGGTTTTACTTGAACTTGACTCTCTTTCTAAGCCTATTATTTGTTTTGGTTTGACTTTGACTTTCCTCCATCTAGATTCTAGGATCTCCACATCTTGTCCACTTGAACCTTTATTCCCTGAGAGTCTGAGACCATGGTTTCTCACGTGGCTCTTCGTACTTCTAGGCTTTACCCATGTCGGATGGTGACATAACACTTTTTTTTTTTTTAATCTAACTTAACTTGGATCATTGAACTTCGATTTAACGTCAATTAGTTAGATGTTAGACACCGTAAAGTTGATGACTTGAACGCAAAGTTAACGGCGGCCGAAGTAGCCTTCCACATGGACTTTGTCAATAGTATTAATAGTCACCAAACTTTTACCTCAACTATAATTAGGTCACTGAACTTTAATTTAATAGCAAATAAAACTCCAATTTCACAATTTTTTTTTTTTTTTTT